GCGGCGCTCCGAGCGGGGTCATCTGGCAGTCTCCGGCCACCTAAATTAGGACCCGGAGACTGCCAGATGACCCCGCTCGGAGCGCCGCACACCGGAGCAGCAGTGACGCGACGCTCGGCGAGGTAAGTAAGATGACGCGCTGGCACTGACTCGAGTATAAGCCGAGGGGGGCACTTTTCACCCAAAAAAATGGGCTGAAAATCTCGGCTTATACTCGAGTATATACGGTATGTAAAAATATCTACCAGTTCTCTGAACATACATGTGAATATTCATCGACACCTAAGAGACCACTAGACACACCCAGGATGGATCAAGAACTGTTTTAGATGCGTTTACCGCTAAACAAAGTGTCAATGAGAACTTGCACTTGGTTTCATTATGAAGAGTAACTATCCCTATGGAGGACACTTGCACATACCGCTGCTATCCGTAGGAGCTGCTAAAGACAGAAAAGCTCAGATAAGAATGTGCAAAGTACTGATTAGCCATAAAACAAACCCTAATGTATTACTTAAGTAACAAATGGAAGTCTGACCTAGTATTTCACTTTTAGTGTTTCCTGTATATTATAAAGAAAAAAAAATTAACCAAGGTACATTAAACAGCTGAATTACACTTCCTATACATATACATACAGCTCCACATATCAGCAGTTTGGTTAAATAAAAGGAAATAAACATGTAAATAAAGAAATCCTTCATACTCTGACACAAAATATTTTAGTAAAAAGTCCTTTTGGGGGAGATTGTGCAGTAATTGTGTCAATAAAGCAGCAAAATTCAGAATTAATTCCCATCATGGATTGTGCAGAAGAGGAGAAAGGGCAGACCACTGATGGTAGCTCATTTGGTAGTTCAAGCGAGCAGACAGATGGCCAGATTCATCATACTCCGCTACGGTTAATACCTGAGGTGGCATTACCTGACACGGATCCTAACGGGGTTTAACAACAGGGAAGAGATAACGAAATTCGGAGAGTACCCTCAGAAAAAAAGTATTTTGACATAATGCCCAAAGGTAACAATAATTTCATATATTACAAAACATTTTTATTTATAAACAACTGGCCAAAGTCCCAAAGAATCCATTCATTTTTGTCACTTTACTAAACGCAGCAAAGGATTTAGAGTATAACTGCACTTTGAATATTTTTGCTTGTACTTGCCCAAGCTACCTCTAACAAAATGCCAATATAATGGAATATAAGCCCTGTCACGGCCTACTGGCCCAGAGAACATTCTTGAGTGCTCTGAAATATCAGCTCCTGGGACACAAACTGCTCATGCAGCTCAATGCAGATCAGCTGTCCAAACAGCCCATTCTGTTGGTGTCCAGGAACAACTTTTTTAGAGCAAAGAAGGAAGCAAACACGGGGCCGGTACATGATTCAAACAACAATATACCTTCACAAAAGGTAACCCATCATATTGACCTTTTTTTTTTTTCAAAAGCTTATAGAGTCAAATACAAATGTATTTTTTATTTTAAAAAAACAGTTATACTTTATGTGCAAAGTGAAGACTATTAAACCATTGAGAGACAACATCCAACTGATTGCACAGTAATTGATTAAATGCCTATCCAGCAACAAACTATGAAAAGAAATAATGTTAATGCCTGTTGGCAAACACAGTGGTGAATTCCTGGACATTTTACAGTAAAGAAATATGTTATACACACAATATTCTGAACCATGCTTAGAAGTTCATGCTGTACAACCTCTAATGTTCTTTGTGTGCATTTTACTGTTGACAAGTACACGTCTCCATTCAAACCACCTACATTTCTCCAAAAAAAGGGATTCTTTGGAATGTCAGCTACCAAACACAGTGTAAAGCAGAGATCCCCAACCTTTCTCAGCTTGTGAGGCACATTCAATGACTAATAAGCATGACAAAATAGCACCTATGGAATGTATAAAATGTAGCATATATATTTTCTTTGAAGAGTATGTAAACCTTTAATACAGGCATCATGCATCACTGTATACAGATTTCTTAAGAAAACGGTTCTTTGTGGATCTTTTTGTATAGTTTCAAACCTTGAGATCCTGCCAGTAACAACACTTCTTGTTGCAAGCTGACAACACTAAACCACTGCCTCTCAATGCCTTTCTGATACAACTCAAGGAGTTTGCATGGCAGGCTGACAATGCTACTACTAATTGCCAGTGGCTTAGTGTTGTCGGCCTATAACAGGAAGTGCTATTACTGGCAGAATCTCCATGTAAGAATATTTTGCAAAGGATTCATTAAAACCATTTGCTTATTAAAAAAAAACTATATACAGTGGGACACGATGTCACCCTTTAGACCATGTTTCACCCATATTCAGGGTTGCATACCACATCCCCCAAACCCAAACTGCCACCCTTACTTGAATTGTGGGATGCTTCTGCCTGCAGAAATGTGTCATTATTTAAGATTGGAGTGGCTTTGCATGGCCCTGCCTGCAGAGCCACGTCATTCAGGTCTGGCAGCAGTTCAGTGACATCACAGTAAGTTGTAGCCCAGCCGCACATCCTCCAGCCCTAAAACAGATGGTCCATATGGATGTATGGACCTTCTACTGGGGAGAAACGCTGCAAGAACCTGTGCATTTCATCTGTGACGCACTGATGGTGCGTGTAAAGCTCTGTAGGCTTCACTGCAAAAAGTGTAGTAAATGTTCTATATTTTGCAAAAGGTAGACTAAGCCTTTACAGTTTAGTTTTCAATTTTGTGTAGAGTGTACCTTTAAAAACATCTCATACTACAAGAAGAAGGAGAAGAAGGAGGCTATATGGGGCAGGTCTGGTTGATATGCCTCTCTAGTGTGCAATTAATTCTATATCTCTTCACAGCGAAAACTAGAAATAGTTTTGGCTGGAGATAGACCTTAAAAATGTATATACTGTATATAGCATAGTAGTAGCTTGTCACTTTGTTTTGTTTAAAAACAAGAAAGAAGCTGTCATTTTCAAAAATAAATAATAAAACTAAATAAATCAGGAAACCTATGACTGACTTTACATACATGAGAAATGTATAACCTAGTGTTTTCAGGTAGCAACAGTTGACCTTATGGGTCACTTGGACCTTAAGGGCTTCTGCACACCATGTCCGGACCAGAAAGTTTTCTGTCCGCACCTGAAATGCATCCCAATGTATTCCTATGGTATTTCTGGGCTCCGATCACACCAGTGCAGTCTGTTCCGGTGCGGGGGAAAAAAACTGATTCATTGGGGTCTGGAACGCACCAAAACACATGTAAATGCATAAAAAAAGAATAAAAAATGCACTGCACCGTGTTTGCAGATTTGATCCAGATCTGGTCTGGACTTGGTATGAACAAGCCCTAAACCCAGAACTAAATACCATGCCCATTCGTAAACTTTAGATACCACAGACTGTCCTTTCTATTATTATATCTGTTATTTTAGGCACATTTTATGCCAGGTCAGGTTCCACTTAAAAGAGAACTATGGCCCAACCTTTTTTTGCCATCCTCTTTAGGGTCACAGGAGGACCAATGGTTATTGCCTGCTATATGCTCACAGTGCAGAGCCATGCTGCAGCTGAGATGGATGCCAACAATATTGTTATGATCCACCCCGCTGCCTGATTGACAGCTGGCTTTGGCTCTCTAGAGGCAGAGACAGCTGTGCCTGTCCTCTCACCCTTCCATTCCTCCAGTCAGAGCTGGAAGAAGGAGGGGGCAATCCCTGCAGGGAGCGGTAACTGACAGGCACCGCTCTCTGCAGGGAGAAGATCAGGAATATGTAATCGCTCAGTTCCCGATCAATAGAACCAACGCGTGGCAGCTTCAGTGTCACATGTCGGCTCTAATTATGGGGATGAGTGTATTTCACTCTCCTCATAATTCTCCTTTAACAACTGCTCAATAGCTGCCATAAGCAAAATCAAAGATAGCTAAACATTATATGTGACCCATAAGCCACTGGTTGGGGACCACTGATGTAAAGTATGCACTGCTATATGCAGCCATGAAAAGGGATACTCAGATAAAATGCACAATCGGCAATCACTGACATTTCCTATGACCTGACATTACAGAGCACAGGAATGTTAGGATTTTTTTTTATGTTGTAACAGATCTTGAACAGTGGTAATCATTATCTCAGTATTAATGAGAAACATGAAGTAGCTCTAACTTCCAGAATTGAAAAAAACATGTTGTGAAGTTCTTAAAAGGCCTCCAAACTGTGAAATGGTTAAAAGGTATAGTGGTAATACCAAAAACAAAGAAGTCAAGCATAAAACACAACTTGATAGTGGTCATTTCCCTATATGTAACCTAAATTTTCCATCTCGCTGCGGTAGCGCTGCTCAGAAACTTTACTTTTGTGCTGTTTTGTCTCCAGATGTTGCCTAAACTCAAGCTCTTCACTGGCTCCAACATTGCACATTGAACAGTAGAACTGTCCACTTGGAGTTACACACATAGCCAGGTCTCTAGGAATCCTCTGACGTGAACGGGGATTGAAATATGGACCTGAGAGGAAAAAAAAAAAAAAGTTTTTTTTTGTCAATTTGCATTAAAACCAACATAAATTGATGGAGGACCTTGACAGAAAGCATGGGGTGACCTTCCAGAGAAATATTGAACAGTATTCTCATATGTTTTCATTAGCAAGACATAATACAAAGACAAAGTGGATGGCGTGGCCCATTAACTCAGAAAAGACATCTTCTTTTGGCAATTAGACTCATCTTTTTTCAGTGTCTTAGGTTTTATAATCTGATGAATGCTGTCTTCAAATACATTTTAATCCCAGCTAATTGGCTATCACAGAAGAAAATGTAGAGCTGCAGCAAATGTCTGAAAAAACATGATTTTTATGTTACCCTGTAAAATCTGTTTCATGGTGTACGTCACAGGACAAAGAGGGTTAATTCTTGAACAGATGGGTTAGGCAGCTCATTTCAGGTAATTGGATTCTAGCAAATCAAAGCTGTCAGGACAGACCTGTATAAACTCTCCCACTCCCAGCCTGCCACAGTTTTGTAATAGGCAGTACAAGAATGGACCACAGAAACTAGATAGAAGAGTGCCATATCCTATGATGTGCTCCAAGAAATGGATTTTACAGGTAAAACAAAGATCCTGTTTTCTAGATTGCACACCACAGGACACGGGGAGTTAACTCTTTTTATGGCTTTAATCCTCTCTTGTGTCAAAGGAGGACATTTGCTAATGTCCTCCTGTGACCCAAAGTCAGCATCTAGCGGGCTAATGCCTGCTATTTGCTGACAGTGCAGAGTCACGCTTCATTCGGGAAAGATCCCGGCAATATTCTTGGGATTCCACCCCGCTGCTTGATTGACAGCTGGCTCTGCCTCTCTAGGGCCAGAGCCAGCTGTGCCTGCCCCTCCCCTGTCTGTCCCTCCAATGAGCATTGGAGGAACAGACAGGGGAGGGGGGAATCCCTACAGGGATTGGTGACTGATAGTCACTGCTCTCTGCAGGGAAAAGACCATGAGTGATCAGCGGTTCATCAAACTATAGAGCCGGCATGTGACACCTGTAGTGTCACACTCTGGCTCTAAGTATTGGGAAGAGTACATTTTACTAGAGGTGCACCGAAATGGAAATTTTAAAATTGAAATTAAAAAAAAATTGTCAGTCCGAAACCGATACCGAAAATGTTTTTTATTTACATTTTTTCACATTTTTAAAATGACGGGAGGAGACGCTGGTCGCTCACAGCCCTCTCCTCCCGCAGTGCTCGGCCGGCTATCACAGTTTCTCTCCTCCCCGCAGGGACACAGAGCAGCGCCCAGCGTGGAGGAAAGAAAGCAGGGATGCGGAGCTGTATCGGCAGGAAAAAAGTGCCATTTTCACCCGATATGTTTCGGCGGCCGATATATCGGTGCATCCCTACATTTTACCCTTCCAATACTTCTCCTTCAATATTTGAATAGATAGGACACCCAAAAGCAATCCAACAGAATGGCAGACAAGAAAGCAAACAACAGCTAAAGGTCCAGCAAAAAAAACTAACCCTAATGGGAAACAACAATAGAAGGCGCCTACAATGCAGAAAGCCGCCTTAAGCCAGCATCTGCAGAGGTCGGAACGTCCACCTGTGTGAACAGAGGACTGGGTGGGGGCCTTGAAGATTTGTGGAACCAAATCCTGGTGCTGGAAGCCTTAGTAATACTAATGCTCCTGGTAGAGTGAACTGTTACCGGAAAGGGGGAACTTTGCCCTTCAATTCGTATGAGAGTGATAGTACACTGAATCCATCTGGCAATTGGTGAACAAGAAGCTGGCTGCCCCATAAGGGGACCTTTAATAATGACGAAAAGGGAGTCAGACCTGCGCATAGGAGCTGCAGCAGAGAGGTAAATTCGGACAGCCCAAACCATGTCCAAACACTGGACTATGCGGATCCCCTGAGACGGAAAACAGCTCTCTACTGAACCAGCATGGTGTTACTCTGTTACTGCTCTCTAACTGGTGAGCGAGATTCTGCAGTGTTTTGCTAGTGAGGGAGCAAAACTGCAAGGACAGGTGAGTGATCTCTTTAGCGATCCTGTTGTTTGCGAGTTGCCACCAGTAACAGAATTGCTAGAATTGCTCAATATGGCCTGCAAACCCTAGGGCTCCAGAGAACACATAAGGGATGACACACTCCAGGAGTACTATTAAACATGTTGCTCTCATAGAGGAGAGTATAATATACATGATAAGGAGAGCCTTTGCAGAATACATCCATTTTGATACAAGCTTTCTCCTTTTATATTCTTAGGGACTTCTCTCTGCACAACTCTCCAAATAAAGTATGGATTTCACCTTTAAGACTTCAGCTGTTTAAAAGGTAAGCCACTTTTTTATAATGACGAGGGATACTGTACTTACAGAATCAGTACTTCTTGTGATTATTTTGAAAGAATAAAAATTTTTTTCAAGATTATAAATATTGCAAGCTTAGAGCAGAATCTATGTTTTCCAACTACATCAATTACATTAATATTAATGGCATACTGTTGTCTCCATTATTTTCTTTCCTGTAATGTTTGCACCTCTTGCACTTTCAATGCCCAGGTGTTTTGTAGTATTAACTGTAAACAAGCTAATTTCCATAATACATTCATGAGGTTGTTTGATGCAGTTATGCGCATGCAAAAACTTGAGATGTTGGTAACATGGGAATACATGGTTCCACTATTGTTTTCCAGACCATCCTCAACATTCAAAGTTTTAAAGTGGACCTATCAGTAAATTTACATTTGTGTATGAATACATTCCTGTAAAAATATACACCAGTGGTATATTTCAAGGAGAACTATGGGACTAGTGAAAATCACTCAGCCTCATAGTTCTAGCCGACCTGTGACAATGAAACTGTCACATGTCGGCTCAATAGATCGGGAAGTGAGTGAACATATACCGTCGCTCGCTCACTTCTTGATCTATCCCTGCAGAGAGCAGTGACTGTCACTCACGGCTCCCTACAGGGATTCCCCCATCCCCTGTCCGATCTTCCAGCGCTGACTGGCGGAACGGACGGGGAGGGGGCGGGTACAGCAGGCTCTGCCTCTAGATAGGCAAAGCCAGCCGTCACTCACGCCGCTGGGTGGATCTCGACAGTAAAGTCGGGATCCGTCCCGGCTGCGGCGTCTCAGTATACCACGAGCTGTAGCTCGCGGTATACTGAGCTTTGGGTGACGGGAGGATGCTAGTTTGTGTCCTCCCATTACCCTTAGGAGAACTATGGGGTAAGGCCCTAACCCAGGGGTAGCAAACCTCCGGCCCTCCAGCTGTGGTGGAACTACAAATCCCATGAGGCATTGCAAGATTCTCACAGCCACAGACATGACTCCCGAAGAGAGATGCATCATGGGATTTGTAGTTTCACCACAGCTGGGGGGCCGGAGGTTTGCTACCCCTGAGGATTTTTCACTCACCTCATAGTTCGAGCCGACCTGTGACAACGAAACTGTCACACGTCAGCTCAATAGATCGTATGGGTCTGCTTTAAGTTCTTTTCTGTTCTTTTACCATTAAGATCATTATCGCATCCTTATACTTCTACTATGCTGTCATCCTTAACTCTTTTAAACCCCAGGTTGTTTTTAATTATCTTTTTTTGTATTTAGCACCAGATTAACAACAAATGAGACCCTAGGCAAAGTAGAAGCTTTGGGTCCCTTTACATTAATCACTGATTACAATGTTACTCAGGTGCATGGATGACTAAAATATTACCTTCCCAGACTAGCAGCAGGTCTTAAAAGCAGGCACTAAAGATGCCTAGATATCCATTGAAATAGTTGTTGTAGTGCTCTGCTGCCCTGGAACACAAGGGTGTCCTGTTAATATAGAGCTCCAGCTTTCCCAATAGTTTAACTAGCAAGACCCAGGAAATACTAGCGCACCCATTGAAGATAGGAAGCTTGGTGCAAAAAATGGTTGTGCCCAATATAGTCAAATGCATGAATCACTGCTTACCTGGAATTCCATCTCTACTGCACTTCAAATATAAAATATTTAACTTTGTGAGAAATGTGTGAGACGCCATAACCACCATATGAAGGATTCATCTATTCTTATTGTATGGGGTGCATAATCGGAGTCACTTGATACATAGTGATTGAATAATTTGTCTAACCAAGCACCCAATGTGGCCGAAACACGTACGCGTTTAAACTGCGCAGTATATATACAAGCTAACTAAACAAGAGACTGGACACTTATGCGAGTCTTATGGGGGCATGAGATAGATGTATCCTATTTTGGATTGTAATTTGATACACTGAGACATCTAGTCCATGTGGTGGGGTTTTTAACCACCTTCCGTCCATGGCTGTTTGTGAACGGCCGGACGGAAGTCTGCTAGGAGCGGGAGGGCGTCTTAAGACGTCCTGCCCCTCCCCCCTCTCGTGGGCGGCACTCAGCGCGCACACGAGAGGGGAAACTGTGAGCATGTAAACAGCCAGCGATGGCTGTTTACATACAAGCAATCAGGCGTCTCTAGAGACGCCCGATCGCTTGCAGGAGCTGCGGGTGTGCGGCCTCCCCCCCCCCCCGTACCTCTGTCCCGCCGTCTCCTCGTCGCCGCTGCCGGTCCGTGATCCGATGTGGCCGGTGCGGCTGGGACCGGCACGGCGACGCTCTAACAGCAGATCAAAGGGAGATCATTACTAAAAAAATAACACAAAAAATGTTTTAAAGTCCCCCGCCCCAGCCACATACACATGCAAACATGCGTCGGGTGTGCCTATGTACGAAAACGACGATTGCGCCCATTATGCAGCACATGTTACATATCGCCGCGAACGTCGGAGTAAGAGCAATCATTTTAGGGCCATCAATCACTGATAACACTAAACTGCTGAGCGGTAAAAACGTTTAAAGTGTCGCCTATGGCCAATTTTGGTTGCGGTCGTTTTCTGCGATTTTGCGGGTGCGCGCATTTTTAAAGGTTGACTTGTTTAGTGTCTATTTACCCGATGTGACCCCGTCTTTTATATTATACCAAAAAATTG